GAGCTCTCCGTGTCTGTGTCAGGTGTGACTCCATTTCCCATCATTTTCTCTGCTTTGCCATGCTGCTTTGTCTTTATGTGTCTGCTCTGGAAATTGCCTTTCAAACTAGAATTTGGCGATACAAGGGTCTCTGTTTCTCAGTTTACAGCACGGTTTTGAATTCAGCTTTGAATTCATTGTCATAATATTTTCACAGCTTTGACTTAGTTTGGACCAAAACAGTATGGTGATGATGCTGTTTTGTTTAAAATACTGAAGTGAAATCTCCATCGTTCTGCATTGATGTATTTAGATCACTGGAAATTATGAAAGATTATGAAAGATTAATTGCTTTGCTAAAAATACAGTTTTTCTCATACTGTACACAGTATAATAGCTTGTGCATCAGTTGGTCTTTTGCATGGTCTTGCATTTGTCTTGTATGTTTAAGTGGAAATAATTGATAAGATTACTTAGATATTGTATAGATAAAAAGTTGTCATCTTTAATCCCTACAATTCTGAATCCAAGTAATTGGTCTTTGCATTGTAGAAAATAAACAAAGACCTAAAAAAGATATAAAAGGTATATTTAACAATTTAAAGAAAAGTTACTATTAACAGATAACATACAAACATAAGCTATTTGTGTCTTTGCTGGACTTTTTAAAATGTGACGTATGGCATCTGCTGTACCAATTTGGATGCTTTCATTGATGCTGGAAAGGTAGTTTTTTGTTTTGTATTTTCAAAATCAGCGTTTCCTGAGGTTTGCAAACTACTTTGTTTTGTGAGTCAAGATTCTAGAGCTTTTGTTGGATGTAGGTCTATCTGTTGCTTGTGCTATTCCATCCTTTTGGATTTTTTTCAGCTTTGGTTATTTTTTTCTCACCATTCCATTTTTCTTCTTCAGTTATCATCTTTTTACAATTTTAAATGTGGGCCGTGCATCCATTGTGACGTCTGAGTTTAATAACTGTGACCTTTTTGGTTTTCTTTGGAGTTATTTGTCATTTGATTTGAATTACGTTTATTTTTTGTTTGTGTTTTGTCGTCTTTCTTGTCCTGTCTTTTGGGCTGACGTAATTATCTGATGTCAGAAGATGACGCATTTGTAGACAAACTTCCCAGCTTTGAGAGACGGGCAGACATGCCAGCAGGTACGCTACTGTATAAACTCTTCCTGATTTAATGGATGGGGATGGAGACCACTGATTCAACAATGTAACAAATGGTTACATTTTCCCATAGAGTCAGTTGTCAGAGCATAGCTCATTCATGGTGATCGTTTTCATTTACACCAGTGACTAAACTTGTAAATAAGATGGAAAATTAGTTGATTTTCATGTAAAGAGTCTTTAAAGGAATTTTCCAGGTCATTTATGGCTTAATGTCCATGGGCAGAAACTGTGGCTCATTGTTGATTACAGCAGTGCACTTATAATGGCTGGCATTAAAGCTGTGCTGGCATTAAAGCTGCCAGCACAGCCAATAAACTTTGAAAATATGCTACTCTCACAGTACAAACCATAACTAATTAAAGTATAACTATAAAAATTGGATGCTTGATTGCAGACTGGTGTGATAAAACTGCATACAGCCTGGTCTGTATAAAGTTATATTCAGTGTCTGAGCAGCTAAAAAGTAAACCTGGTTATTTTCGTTTGGTATCACAACCCCAAAATACACATGGAACTTAAACTAAGTTGAGGCTTAATTCTGCAAACTCCACTGTTTTTGCTAATACATTTGGTTACTAGAAAATTCTCCACGTAAACAAGTAGTCTTGCATCAAACAGATAATTTAGGGAAATTTACAGTTGATAGTTTGATAGAATAAAAATTGATAGTTTGTACTCTCAAATCTGATTGGATGAGCCACATTTGAAGCCGGTAAAAAAATTATGTATAGTAAAATAAAATAATAAACACACACTTGTGACCAGATATTCTATTTTATTTTAATAATAATAACAACAACACTAATAATAATAATAAATGTGTATTTTATGAAGTGATCAGCAGCAGGCCTCAAATTCTGTCCATAAACATTAATTGTAAATAAGCCAGAATATTTCTTCAACTCACCAAAGACTGTTTGGCATTTTTTTGAAAGGTGTTTTTCCCTCTACTTTTGTCATGTTGATTACAGTCCAGCACTATTTGCCACAGTATTTACTTCATCCATTTTTAATTCTTTCTGTCATATTTTGCTCTTCACATTCATACAAGAGAACATGTCTGTTTAGCTCATCATGCATGTTAGAGATTGCTCTGCCTGTAATAATTATGCAACATCCCTCATCTCACATCTGCACTGACATCAAGAACCAGGAACAGAAGAGTCTTTTAGTCCCTGAAAAGCATCTGTCTGGCTGTAGACTCTTCAGAAAACTCAAAGAGCACCACCATCCTGCTTGAACAGATGACACACACACACACACACAGCCTCTCAGTGTTTGAAGTGCAGTCTGGAATTTGGCCCAAGTGGCAGCAGAGCTGATCAGTATGCCTGCCGTCACACTTTGAGTGGAGAGCTCTCTGATGTTGCACCTGGGTAAAAGCATTTCTAACATCGTCATGCTGCAAATGTCAAGCTTTACTGCCACATAATTTTTATCCTCACAGGTGAAATTCACATCTTTAAATCTGATCTTCAACATCCACACAATCTATGCTGCATTTCATTCAAAGTCAAATGTAACACATTCTACTTGATCATTTCAACCATAAAGTGTGCGATTCTCTGAGGATGACATATAAGGAAACAAAATGGCATTGCCTTTATTTTTGCAGTTGTTTGATTGTCAGGTATAAAGACTCATAGCAAATAGATGTTGAGGATAAATTATCCCATACACAAATGCAGATGTAATGTTTTTACATATATTAAATTTAAAAATGGACTGTTAAATGAAGTAAAAACATATAAGAAACCTATTAGAAATTGGAACAATTTAATATATTAAGACCAAACAGATATTCATGTTTATGTATAATACATATCCATCTTAAAATCAACAATACATGGTAATATTATATAAGTAAATATAAACGTTGCATAAATAAAAAATGTATATTATTGACATATGGTAGTTACAAATGTTTAAAAATCATCATATAGGTATTATAAAGATGTTACTGTAGGTATTTTATATATATGATGACAATTTATATCTTCATCTAACCAGAGAATGTATGTATGCGAAAATTATATATCGCCTAGGTAACATACAGTATGGCAATATTGCTCTTGATACAGGGCAATTTATGTCAAATATTACAGTATTCTGTATGGAATGCTGTTCAAAGCAAGCATTTGTTCTGCAGGTTATCAACAGAGAATTATTTCTCTCTCTACTAATTTCCTTTAAAAAAAAA